GAAGATGGCCCATCCCTGGAATAGGTTCATAGAGAAATAAAACAATCTCTTTTTGGGTATGTGACTTCAATGTATGACTCTTCAGAGTTTGGGTACATGAATACAATATATGACTCTTCACAGGGTTGGTGCATGTTTTTTGTTGTTTGTTTGTTTGGTTGGTTGGTTGGTTTTTTGAGACAGCGTTTCCCTGTGTAGCTTTGGAACCTGTCCTGGAACTAGCTCTTGTAGACCAGGCAGGTCTGGGAACTCACAGAGATCGGCCCACCTTTGCCTCCCAAGTGCTGGGATTAAAGGCATGGGCCAACACCACCTGGCTGGGTTGGTGCATGTTTTAAAAATTGAAATGTCTGTATACTCTGTTCCTCGACCAATAAAATCTCAGTTATGAAAGACTAAAAAAAAATGCTGTTAGAGAAGAAAAACATGGATAGTTTGGGGAAAAAAGGAACAACACAGATTGGGACTGGAGAGATTGAGAGCACTGTTTGCTCTTCCAGAGGACAGGTCAATTCCCAGTCCCCCACCCCCCAAAAATTCATACATAAGGTTCCAGTTTCTAGGCCTCCTGTTTCTTCATGTTCTAACTGCTAACATTTATCAGTTTATGTCCTTTGCCCCATAAATTCATTATATAATTATATAGAATTTTTGTTTTGTTTTGTTTTATTTATTTATTTTGAGATTGGGTTTCTCTATGTCTTCTTGGCTGTCCTGGAACTCACTATGCAGACTGGCTATCTAGGAACTCAGGGCCTGCCCGAGTGCTGGGATTAAAGGTGTGAGCCACCACCACCCAGCCCGAAATAACTTTTAAAATAAGTGTGTATTTTTACTCTGTGTGTTTGCTTGCGTGTGCAGAAGTTTGTTCACCTCTTCTACTGCATGGCTTCCAGGGATCAAACTCAGATCTTTAGGCTTTTGTTAGTATTCAGGCATCTGTACTAGCCTGCCATTGGGGTTCTGACAGGATACACCCTCAGCTGCAGCCACTAAGAGCACCGCTTGTGTTCCCTTTTAAAAGGGTCCTGCCCACCTCCCATCTTTCTCTCCCTCCCTTTCTCTCTCTCTCTTTCTGTTCCACCTCTCTTGTCCCCAGGTACCGGACTCTGCCCCATCTCTCTTCTTCCAATAAACCTCCTATGTGAGTTCTTTTGTATGGCGTGACTTCTCTACAAGGGGTTCCCCACCCCCACTTCTACTCCCCATCATCTTTACTCTCTGAGCTACCTCACTGGCCCTATTTGCAGGTTTTGAGATAAGTAAATCAAGTCTTAGAACTTTGGACTGGGTTACCCAAGATCATTTATCTCCTTAGTGGAAGAGATGAGGTGAAAATGAGCACTTTTTCTTCAAATGCCACATTATCCACATATATTTTGCTCTTGGATAACATTTGATGACCTGCTTCTGTGGAATCTCCCTATAATGTCAAAAGTATTCAGGTGAAGATGCTTTTGTATTAGCTATCTCGTGATACCTCTTGCTACTTTGTCCCTCCCTTCCCTCTCAATGTGAATACACAGTCTTACAAACCTTTAAAAAGCCTGAAAGTGTTATTCAATATGTCTTTTATTTATAGTAGTACATTTCCTAGAAAGATTTGGTATTCTTAAGCCTCAATATTTGTTTCTTTCTCAGCATTCAATAAACTTTTTCAGTAAAATGCTAATGATGTGTAGTTAAAAAGCAAAAACAGTCTTTCAGATGGGCATGGTGGCACATGTCTCTAATAACCAACATTCAAGAGGTAGAGACAGGCAGAGCTATCTGACTTTGAGGGCAACTTGGTTTACAAAGTGAGTTCCAAGAAGCCAGGGCTACATAGAGAGGCCTGCCCTGCCTCCTGCACATTCCCCTGCACCCTCTAAAAAAAAGGAGAGAAAAGAAGAAAACATTTTAAAGCCACAGATATTAGAACTATAGATAGCAGCCCTTAATTTCAGTTTAGTTTCCTGTTAGTAGAAGCTGTTTGGAGCCTATTTTCTAAGGTTTTTGATGCTCAAATTACTCAGCAGAGACCTATTCTGCATACCTGTTTTTTGTTGTTGTTATTGTTTTGTTTTAGTTTGTTTGTTTGGCTTTGGAACCTGTCCTGGAATTAGCTCTTGTAGACCAGGCTGGTCTCGAACTCACAGAGATCCGCCTGCCTCTGGCTCTTGAGTGCTGGGATTAAAGGCGTGCACCACCAACACCCAGCTGCATTCCTGGTTTTAATATGGAGAAAATGGCTAATTCAAATTTATAAACTAGGTATGCTGGATTGCTCATAAATATACATGCATTTCTGTTTCTTTAACTTTAAATTTGAAGTAACATAGATTTATAGGATGACACTCCAGGAACATAGCTAACTTATAGCTGATCCAACTTGACTGCCCCATGCTTATGGTATGGTAGAAAACAGAAGACATTGTCTTGGCATCCTCCATTTAATCATTAAAGTCAGACATTTTCTCAAGAAAATGAAAACAATCCATCCAATGGCTTGGCCACTTGAATTTAAAAATTACGTTTTTATATCAATTCAGATAGTAACAGATTTTTCTAACAAAAGGTGTCCACTTCTATTTTTTTGCAATGTCAGCATCCTTGTCTTATTTTCTTTTTTTTCTTTTCTTTTCTTTTCTTTTTTTTTTTTTTTTTTTTTTTTTTGGTTTTTATGAGACAGGGTTTCTCTGTATTGTTTTGGAGGCTGTCAGTCCAGCCCGGCCTCGAACTCACAGAGATCCGCCTGCCTCTGCCTCCCGAGTGCTGGGATTAAAGGAGTGTGCCACCATCGCCCGGCCTGTCTTATTTTCTTAATGAAATTAAGTTTATATATAAAAAGGCTTGTTATATAAAGAGTTAGAAAGTAATTCTCTAGCTTGTTCTTTTTAAAGTCTAAATAAAGAATAAATCTCTTTCTGAGTCAACTTATACAGATTTAGTAAATTGCTATCTCTGTCTCTAAAGCCAGGGTTTCATACTGTAACTTTCTCTGTAACATAAACTTGCAGCATTCTTGTGTCTTCATTGGTGTTAGGTACAAGCATTTCCAGCTATATTGCTGTGTCTTAACTATTAATGATTTCCCTGTTTGTGGATGTTATGTTGGCAGTTTCTGTTCTTTGATGTAATGATTGCTGAACAGAAGCCCAATGTTTGGTATATGTGTGTATTTATGTAGAAGAGCTTCTTACTTAGGCAGCATATTGAATAAGAAACACAGGCTTTCCTTTCTTTATCCATTTTCTACCTGTCTGTCTTTGTCTGGCTATTTATTTTTAAAGATTTCTCATGAAGGCCAGAAGAGGGTGTTGGATCCTCTAGCACTGGAGTTATGGATGTTGGAGAGCCACCATGTGGGTACTGTGAACTGAACCTATGTTATTTTCTTTTAATTTTGTTTTCTTCTTTTCATGTTAGTCAACTCTATTCATTTATTTTGGCTTTTGGAGACATGGTTTCTCCATGTAGCCCTGGCTGTCCTGGAACTCTTCTGTGCAGACCAGCCTGATGCTAAACTCAGAAACGCAAGTGCTGGGATTAAAGGCCTCTGTGCCACCACCCCACAGGATGTTATTTTATTATAGTGCAAGTTAGATATATGTCAGTGCTTTTCATTATTTATAAAATGGTCCATCCCTACCAAGGACACTATCTGTACCAGTGTTTCTTACTATTTATGAAATGGTGGCACATGTCTTTTAGCCCAACACTGGGGAGGCAGAGTCAGGTGGATCTCTGTGAGTTCCAGGACAGCCTGGCTGTTACAGAGAAACCTTGTCTTAAAAAGGGGGGTGGTCCATCCAATCTGTATTGATTTGTAGTGTGCTTTCTGTTAAAAATTAAACAAAAATTTGTTATTTATTTCTATGACTTAGTTTTTTAGTTTCTTTGATATTTTCTTTACTTTCCTGAAGTAAGAAGTACAGCTTTATTGAAGCCAGTTGAGTGTCTGATAGGGCTAATAACCACATTTAGCCCTCAGAAGTGTCAATTGTTCTCATATACTCTTCAGTATAACCTTTAAAATTGCTTTGTTGAATTGTGTGTTGTTTTGAAACCATTGTGCTGTGGGATTGTGTCACAATGTAGATTAGTTCACAGCTTTTCCACTTTTCAACTGCAAATAGTAATCTCATTCACCCTTTAGCATGAAATTGTTAACTGGCTTTCAACTCTAGTAACTTAAAAAGAATTCACATTTCACAAAGCATGATTGGGCTAGAAAGGTCTATTCATTCTGATTTCTTAAATGCTTTTTGTAGTACTTAGTATAGGAATACTTTATAAATATATCTGCTTGCTCAGCAGTTTTCACTAGCATAGTATTACATCCAAACAGTTATGGCATGCTTGTTTAGTTTTAAACTGTATTTTCTCTGGCAAGAATTTTATATTAGTATGTAACTATAGGTGATTAAATCTTATTTCTATCAATCCCTTTTGTAAATTGTGATACATTTTGGCATATCCTAATTGTTACAGCCCTTATTAACTTTTAAGTGAAAGCTACATAGTTAAGTGTGCATAGTTTTGAATTTGTTATTTAAGAGAGGAATATGTGGCGTGCATATGTCATGGCTTGTGTGTAGAAGTCAAAGGAGAACTTTACAGAGTTGGCTCTCTTCTGCATGAGCTCTGGTGATTGAGCTCAGGTCAGTAGGCAGCCAGTGTTTTCACCCATTTCATTGGCCTCAGACTTATTTTAAAGCTGAAGATATCCTTTATTTTATGTTTTCCTAAAATGTGTTATAAACAGTGTGTAGATCAGTATGAAATGTCTTAGCTGGAAAAAAAGGGAATTCTTTTATATTTCTATTGCATCTGAAACCTAATAATGCCAGTTCTTTTTTTCTTCATATGCAAAAATTTTCTGACATCTATCCTGTGATTATTGCAAATGTTAGTATTTTTCCATAGTAAATGGTATGTTCTTTTTTTTCTCATGCAGGTCTTCAGAGTTCTACATTTTAGCTCTCAGTGCTGAATTTCCTTCTCCCTTAAATTATTTATAAACCTTTGCTGCTGTCTAACAAGCGTGAAGATGTCTCGAAGTCCTAATGCAAAAGAAGACCCTGTGGAATGCCCTCTTTGCATGGAGCCCTTGGAGATAGACGATATTAACTTTTTCCCTTGCACCTGTGGCTACCAGATATGCCAATTTTGTTGGCATCGCATTCGCACTGCCGAGAATGGGCTTTGTCCTGCCTGTAGAAAGGTAAGTGCTTCTAAACAACTTTATTTTACTGTATTTTTGTCTATCCAGCATTAACTGTGTAGTTCTTTCCCCATGAATAAGAGGTGTTCATTTTCTTGAAATTTTAAAGTATTTATTTACATTTTATTTTATAATCCAACCAAAGCTCTCCCTCCTACCTCTCTTCCTGCCTCCTCTATCAGAAGGTCTCCCCCCATCCATTCTTCCTAACAGGTAAGGGCACCCATGGGGAATTGGCACAATTTGGCATATTAAGTTCTGGCAGGACCAATCCCCTCCTTTCTGCTTTAACTCTGAGCATGGCATCCCTTCATAGGGAATGGGCTCTAATAAGCTAGCTCATGTGTCAGGGATAGATCTTGGTCCTACTTCCAGGGCCCTTCAGATAGTCCAAACTTCACAACTTTCTCCCACATACGGAAGGCGTACTTCGGTCCCATGGAGGCTCCACAGCTATCAGTCCAGCGTTGATGAGTTCCCATGAGATTGGTTCAACTGTCTCTGTAGATTTCTCCATCATGATCTTGATCTCTTGTTCATGTAATCCCTCCTCCCTCTCCTTGACTGGATTCCTGGAGTTCAGCCAGGTGCTCGGTTGTGGATCTCCGCATCTGGTTCCATCAATTACTGGAAGAAGGATTTAGGTTCTCTGGAGCTATGGATTGTAGACCAGTTATCCTTTGCTTTATATCTAATATAAGTGTGGTTAGTTTTAAAACAAACATTGTGTGATCTTTAAGGCATAATGAATTAGAAAGAGCACTGGACTGGAGTCAGGGCCAAGTGTTGTTGTGTTAACTAGCTGGCTGTATTATATCTGTTATGTTATATAATCTCTATGGCCAAGAAAATAGACAATTTTGGTGCTTTCTAATTAAGATTGGTAGAGAACTATTGAGTTTGGATATGATAATGTGGAACTAGGAAAAGATATGTGGCACTAAATAGAAAAGGAATTGATCAGGGTTAGGAAGCAGAGAGGGGCATTCTGACACTCAGCTCACCTTTCACCTTTTCAATCAGTTGTGCACCCCAGTCCGTGGTGTTAAGAGAAGCTTTCCTTGAGAGAAGCCTTTCCGCCCACCTGGTTTCAGAGCCGCTTTCCCGCCAGCCTGGTTCTAGAGCCATATCAGTACCAAGTAAACACACAGGAGGCTATATGAATTATGAAGCTGTTGGCCTTGCTTGTTTCTAACTGGCTAGCTCTGACTTAAGTAATTACCCCATAATTGTTAATCTAAGTATGCTTCTTACCGGAGAGGTTCCAGGCTTCCTACCCCAATGGCGGTTACATCTCGAACTCTCTTGTGTTTCTCCTTCCCAGAATCCTCCTGGACTCCTAGTCCCTCCTATCTTGGTTCCCTATAGACTCAACAGTACTTTATTGACAAATAACAGGCAAATAACAGGACTTCCCCAACATCTTCTCTTTTCTGTTTAAACAAAAGAAAGGTCTTAACTTTAACACCATCAAATTATATATAACAGAACAGTTATCAAGTAAGAACACAGTTACAACATTTTGTCTATTAACATTTAGCAAGATCATCCATCCCATCCTTGTGAGTCCAAAGTCCTATATGTAGCTTATCTTTTATCATAACTAAGGAAAACTATAATAATAACTATCTGTCTTCAACTCTATCAAAGACCACAGAAGGATAATATATAAACACTAGGATTAACAGAGATATCTTACTGCCTGGACAGTCACCCGAAGTTCCTCTGTAAAGTTGGGGCATCCATCTTCAGCCCATAGGCCACAATGTATCCAGAAGATTTCTCAGCCAAGCAGGAAATTTCAAACTGTCCACCTGCATCAGCAGTCTGTCAGTCATTTTTCTTTGTCCTGCAGAAAGTCTCTCAGACTCTTCCATGAAGCAGGAACCCTATAAGACTGAGTTCAGCAGTCACTTTCCTGTGGGTCCTGCATGTCCAGATTATACAACAACAGTCAAGCAGTACAGGCAGGAGCAGTTTCTTGCCCAAATGGCTAATCTTGCCATGTTGAAAGCAAACTCCATAACGAGTTTCTTCGATGCCCATCTTCCTTTCAGACATAATTGGTGCTGCCAGGAGCAGACATTTCTCATTGTCAAGAAAAACCCTAAACCATTTTAAATGCCATGTTCTGAAGGTCTTTGAGAGGTTTGAAGACTGTTTATCTATCTTAAATATATTTCTGTATATCTAGAAAACCTAACTTCCCTAACTATAAGTTCTATTATAAGTAAATATCTATAGTCTGTATTCAATTATGCATTACATTTTAAAAGATCAGTATAAGCACAAAATTGACCTTGAATTTGTATCAATAAATGAAAAACAATACCCATACCATAATTCCCCTTTTTACCATTAAAAAAGATTGGCTGTGTTCATTAATCAATTATTAACAATCCCATTTAAATGAAAACAAAGATTTATAAACAAGATGGGAATTAGGACGTAGCTCATTCCAAACTGCTTCCTGCTGGAAGGGGGCGCTGTTCATACCATGGGGATCATGACAAAACTCAGAAACCTGTATAAGTCCGTATTTTCCGGGTCTGTAAAACTGCATCATCTTCGCTGTTTCAATTGTTGGAACATCTGATCCACTGCTTCCGGGGGTCTTGGTTCGTCAAACCACAGAAGACTGGAAGGAATTCTCAGCTTTTCATTTTCTGTGGAAACATAAACTAAAACTCCTTTTCCGAGTAACATATCCTTATACTTAAATTTTGAAGTCAAGGCATTTTCAAAAGATATAAGTTGAATTAATTCAGAAGCATTTATAATCAAGTGTACTTTAGCAGCTGTTCCTTCCTGAGCAAGCAAAAAACTGAAAAACACAATAGCGTACAGTATCCAGACTCTGTGTATTTTCCATCTTTAAGTGGCTTATTTATTTATCTATTATTACTTTATTTCTTTCACTTTTATTTATTTTTCTCTGAGACAGGGTTTCTCTTTGGAAACCTGCCTGCCTCTGCCTCTGGAGCAATTCCTACCGGCGTGTGCCACCACAGCCAGCTTTTGTATTTATTTACCACTTTGTCGTTTCATTTTCTCTCTCAATCTCACATATATTTTTAAACACACTGTAAACCTTTAGAGGTTTTTCTTCATTTAAGTCTGACTTTACTGTAAATCTTTATGTTTTTCTGGCCACGTGTCTTATCTGTAAAACCGCGGCTGTTTTAAACTGCCGGGTTTTTTTTTTCGTCAAGATGGCGGGCGTAAGCGTGACTGCAGCTTACAGCCTCAGTCCATGCTGACCTCCAGCAAAAGCTGCCACTTCCAGCTGTACATACACACCTTTCAATTGTTAGCAGAGTCTCTTAAAACAACCTTGTTGGGTTTTTTTTTTTCTTTTTCTTTTTATGCCGAGTCAGGAAGACTCCAGTAAGCGAGCCGCTTGAATCTCGGCTTGTTGCTAGCAAAACAGAGCACACCTGAGAAAATGCTGCTACCAAAATTCTGTGCTTCTCTCCATTCTTCTGTTTCTAAAATTCCTTTAAATCTTTTGTTATTTTGTGTGGAAATTCATCATCCCACTCCTGTTCACCATTTTGTTAAGAGAAGCTTTCCTTGAGAGAAGCCTTTCCACCCACCTGGTTTCAGAGCCGCTTTCCCGCCAGCCTGGTTCTAGAGCCATATCAGTACCAAGTAAACACACAGGAGGCTATATGAATTATGAAGCTGTTGGCCTTGCTTGTTTCTAACTGGCTAGCTCTGACTTAAGTAATTACCCCATAATTGTTAATCTAAGTATGCTTCTTACCGGAGAGGTTCCAGGCTTCCTACCCCAATGGCGGTTACATCTCGAACTCTCTTGTGTTTCTCCTTCCCAGAATCCTCCTGGACTCCTAGCCCCACCTATCTAGATTCCTATTGGCCAGACAGTCTTTATTGACAAATGCACAGGACTTCCCCCAACACCGTGGGATGGTGCCAGCCACATTAGAGTGGGTCATCCCTCCTTGTTTAGTCCTCTCCGGAAACACCCTTCGACACAGGCCTAGAGGTGTGTCTCTAGATGATTCCAAATCCAGTCAGATTGACAATGAAAATTAATCACCATATCTGCCCTTAGATCTTTATACTCCAGTATAAATGCCATCCATTTATTGTGTTATTAGTAGTACTGATACCTGAGTCTTTAGTACTGATTTGTGCAGAACACATTTTAATAACTTTTAACCCTGATAGCTTCTGCAAAACCTCTGTTTTAAATGTGATTCCTATTTTACAGAAGAGAAGGCTGGGGCAGAATAGTCATATGGTTTGAGAAGGATGGCTGGAATTCAAAGCCTGGCTCTCTGGAACTCTGATTTCACATTCTTGATCCACCAGTGGTTCTTACATTAGCTATAGGAATGAAAATACTATAAACCTGATAAGGAAAGGACAAAGACACACAGGAGAGAGATTGCTAGCATATTTTCAGGGCTCAATGATAATTGTTTTATGAGTATTACTTAATCTGTACATCAAATTTTAGGATTGTTTTCACTTTATACATGAGAATGCTGAGATTTAGAGACTGGGTTGTTTTAGGGCACATAGCCAGATAATATTAGAACTAAATTTGAATTGTGGAGCCAGTCTTATGCTCATCTTTTTTCTTTAGAATAACAATGGCTTAGTAGGTCAAGTACTCCTGAGAACTAGAGTTGGATCCGGAGCATCCATGTAAAAGCCAGGCATGTTTCTATGACCTCACCACCCGAGGGGTTGGAAGGATCCCTAGAGCTTGCTGGCCTGCTAGTTTAGCCATTGTTCAGCTCCAGATTCAGTGAGAAAGTCTGTTTCAAATAAATGAGGTAGAGGCCTCCACATATATACACACACACCTGAACATACGCACAAGCAAGCATATAACTTAGTATTTTAGTACATAGTAGGATTTCCTTAAATACTTAAACATTCATTTTGTTGGTAGAGCTATTTTCTTTGCTTTTTTATATTTAACACAATTTCTTTGGGACTTTTTACCTCATAGTCTCATCATACAACCCACCAGTAGCCCCAAACAAATTAAAAACAAATACAAAAGTAAAACAAGCAACAAACAAAAGAAAAACAAAATAATAACAACAAATCCCTCTCTTCTCCATCTTTCCTGACTCTCCAATACCTCTTCATTCATCCTGGTGGCATTGGTAGCTGTGGTATGTCACACATTATACCCTTTTGTCCAGTCAGCTTTATTTGCAAATGTCCATTGCAGTGAGTCACTGGTCTGGTTCAAGACCACTGATTTCTGGTACACCATCACCTTTGGATCCTCACTGAAACTCTTCTGGAATATTCCATGGCTGTCCTGTGTTTTGGAGATCCTGTGGTTATCATTCCACAGGACCAGTCCCTTCATTAGCTCCAGCAGGCCCTAGATGGGGTATAAGTTAGGGTGGTCCAACCCAAGTCCCAGCTATGGGCTTAGGTTTAGTATTTGAGCTGGTAAATTCAGGCCACCAGTCTGTCCACCTCAGGCAAGAGCCTAAGTCAGCTACCTTACATCCTTACATCCATGCAATCAGGGTTAGCTCTCCCCCACCTGTGGTAAGGGGTGGGATTGTGTTTCTTGGATGGGGGTAGCTCTCTTGCTGCAGTGTTGAGTGAGGGCCAGAGCTACCTGTCTGAGACCTGGCTTAGCATGGCCTTCTAAAGCAACATGGGCCACAGTTATCAACTCAAACCCAAGCTGCAGCAGGACCACAGACCCAGACATGGCCCTTGGCAGCAGTTTTGACCTGGTCAACATTGTGGCTCCAGTTAGGAGCACAGGCCACTTCCATCAGGATGACTCTGATGGCTGCATAGCCCATGGACATGAATAAGGCATTTGGACTTCCTTGTGCAGACCCTGGATGCTGTAGTAACACATGGACCCAGACATGGTCAATGGCAGCAGTGGGTCTGGATGTCAACTTGCCCCAGGTGGCAATGCAGGCACTTAGATCATCACAGCTCCAGGTGCAACATGACCTTGGGACACTAACATGGCTCTAGTTCTCAGGCATCCATGCAGTCTTCGATAGTAACAGGAGCTTTGGACATCAACACAGACCCTGACTACAGTAGGACTACAGACCCAGACATGGCCTTCAACTGCAGCTTTGGCCCCTGTGTCACTATGGCATTGGATAGCAGCTCAAGTCACTGAGATCTGAATGGCCCTAATTGTAGCATGTCCCTTGGCAACCAGCATGGACTCGGGTGACTGACCTGACTCTGTGCATCCACATGGCTCCCGTTGGCAACATGTGCCATTGACTTTAATTTAACATAGACCCCAGCTACAGTAGGAACATGGACCTAGACATGTTCCTCAGCAGCAGCCTGGGTCCAGAAGACAACATGACCCCAGTTAACTGTGCAGGTCACCCAGATCAGCATGGCCCTGGTCAGCAGCATTACCCTCAGACATCCACACAGCCCAGGGTGGTAGCCCAGACACCGGGAATCTGCATGTCCTGGTGGCAACAGGAGCTATGGCCATCAACACAAACCCTGGTTGCCATTGCATCATGGACACAGACATAACCCTAGGTAGCAGCCTGGGCCCAGATCTTCATTGCCTTTTATACAGCACAATCTTCCTAAGAACTGTATGCAAGCTGTAATGGGAATACCAAGCGGTTGATTTTTTTTGTTTTAACATTAGAGTTAAAAATCATCTCTACAAACTTTAAAAAATAACTTTAGAACTTTTAACTTTTATTAAGTAAAATATGTTAAAGCAGTTGGAATAGTTAGAAGAGAGGAAACTAATAGTCTTGTACCTGCTGCTCAGAACTGCACATTTACCATTTATGCAGTTTTCCATTTAATGCTAACTTCATCTTATTTATTATGCTTACAGCCATATTCAGAAGACCCAGCAGTTTATAAACCACTTTCCCAGGAAGAATTGCAAAGGATAAAGAATGACAAAAAACAGAAACAAAATGAGAGAAAACAGAAAATTTCAGAAAATCGAAAACATTTGGCTACTGTACGTGTGGTACAAAAAAACCTCGTCTTTGTTGTAGGTCTGTCACAGCGCCTAGCAGACCCAGAAGTAAGTCCTCTTCTGCTTTCATTGTCAGCATGATGGTCTTTGTGATTACTTGTGTTGCTGGAAAATAATAGTTGACCCTGAGAAACTGGAAGATTTCACTGAAAATAATAAGTCTTTGAAGAAAGTATGAATAATAGTAATAATTTTTATAATGGTTAAGAACCAGTGGCCAATTGTGATCTTAGGCATGCTTTAATCTTTCTGGGCTTCAGTTTCAGTTCTGAAACTATGGACTTGAACTAAAAGTCCCCTTTACTGCTGATAGCTTGTGAAAACAATGATCCTGTTATCCTTAAAGCTAATATGAGTTGTGAAAAAATGTTTTTTTCCTCTTTCCCTTCTCTGTAGCTGTGTGGACTAAATGATTGGAGACACAGTTACTTGAACCTATTAAGTCATCTTAATGAACTGCCCAAGTAGTAGTGTGTGTGCCACAGTGTATGTGTAGAGGTCAGAGGAGTTTGCAGAACTCAGTTCTCTCCTTCTGCTGTGTGGGTTCTAAGGATCTAACTCAAGTCCTCAGTCCCAGCAGTGAGTGTCTTTATCAGCTGAACTATCTGAGTCATCTCAATGATACCTAAGAAGTAACTCTTTTTCTTTCAGAACTGTTGTAGTTTATCATCATTCCTTTACTTTGTCATTCTAAGCCAGTTTTAGAGAAAGAATGAGAATTTGATTAAGTGAAATAAAAGACCAAGTTCTTTGTGGTTCACTTCCTTAATTGGTGACTCTTAACCTCTCTTCTCCTCCTTCATTTAGTTTCTCTGAGCTTATACTTTCTTGTGGGCTTGGGATTAGTATCTGCTAATTTTTAATTTCCACTATACCAGGGAGTGCTGACAAGACTGTTGGGAAGGAAAATTGAAGCTGAATATCACCTGTAATGTTTGTTTCAGTAGGAAAGTGCTGACTTTGTGTAGTCTTCCAAAATAAGTTCTTGAAAACAGTTTGAGGTAATGTTCCTCATAGTGCTGGGGTTAGCTCTGTCGTAGAACACTCACCTGTCTGTTTCCAACAGCTTTTTCCTAACTGTAGCAAATTCCTGGTGGGCTTGGGGGAAAAATTTAAACAAGATATATTTTGGTTCATAGTGTCTGCCTGAGGTTTCAGTCCATTTTTAGCTGGCTCTGTTGCTGTGGGCCTCAGGTGAAATACCTCATCCTGCTGGCAGCTGAATGCGAAAGAAGACACTGTTCATTTCATGCAGCCAAAAGGCAGAAAGACAGACAAAATAAGGGACTGGGAACAAGATAACTATCAAAGGCACACCTCAGTAACCCCCTTCAACTGCATGGGCCCCACTTTCCATAGTGTCTGCAACCTTCCAGTAATTCATTCAGTTATGAATCTATAAGCAAATTGAACATTGAAAACTTTCATGTCTACCAGCTACAGACCAAACCTTCAGTATACGATCCCTTTGGAGGGATAATTTCTTATCTAACCATAGCTCAATCTGCTGGCTGCTTTTGTAAAGACTAGAAAAATAAACATTCACCAGTTGATGAGTTTATATTAAGGCCTCAAAAATTCCTCCAGATCAGTAGAGGAGAGTCGCAGGGAGCATTGCTTGGAAGAACCTATCATGAGCATTAAAAATGGATACAACTCAAGAATTACTAGGATCTGAGCCAGTAAGATGGCTCAATGACCTGAGTTCAGTCCCTGGGTCTCCTGTAATGGTAGGAGAGAATCAACTCTGCAAAGCTGTCCCCTGACCTCCACATATGTGCCATGGTACATATCCACTCCCCTGCCCCACCCTCTACAACCACTGCCTACAAAGAATTACTAGGAGTCTAGATCCAGGGGCCTTGGCAGTAGTGTTTATATGTTATTCAGGAGACCTACTTTTTTTTTTTTGCAAAGGGGTTGGTCAAGAATTCATACTTGAGGCTGGGCAGGGGTGGCGCCCAGCAATCTGGAGGCAGAGTCAGGCGGATCTCTGTGAGTTCAAGACCATCCTGGTTTACAAGAGCTAGTTCCAGGACAGCCTTCAAACCCACAGAGAAAAACGGAAAATAAAGTAATATTTCAGTAAGAAATATTAAGGAAAGAGTTCATTTTAGACCCACAACTTAATTTCAGCAGTTACTTCTTCCATCTTGTTTGTAAACTTCTATTTTCTCCATTCTTCAGGCAGACACAACCCCACCTCTCCTGTGACCACTTTTCTTGACCATGACTAGCCTTAATCTGCCTTTGTCCCTTTCAACTCTGCCTTTAAAACAATGTTTTATTCATTCTCTTCCCCTCCCCCTCCCCCTCTCTCACTCTTCCCCTCCCTCCTCCTCCCTCCCTCCCCCTCCCCCTCCCCCTCCCTCTCCCTCCCTCCCTCTCTCTCTCTCTCTCTCTCTCTCTCTCTCTGTATGTCTGTGTGTATGTGTGTCCACATGTGCGCTGGTATACATGCATGCTATTGAGGGAGGATACACTCATGATGTGGAGGTCAGAAGATCACTGTGGAGTTAGTTCTCTTTGACCTTTACATGGGTTCCAGGGATAGAGTTCAGGTTGTCAGATAGGCACAGCAAGCACTTTTACCCATCTCTCTGGCTCACTTATGTCTTTTTGTTACTTCTCCCTAATTTTACTATTTTTGCCTTTCTGAAATTGCTATGTCCGTGACTTGCTGGGATTTTCATCTTGATTTGAGAGCTTTTGGATGTGAGTTTACCTCTTGTTTGCTTATTTATCTTTAGTTTAGCCAACTCTAGCATTGGTAGCAAAGTGGAGCCACATCTAGAAGTTGATTGATTATCAATTGTATTCTTTTATTAGTAGAAAAAAATCTTAGAAGATATGGTAATTTGTTGATGATTAAGAGGTAATTTTATCTAAAAGTGTAGTTTTAAAATACTTTTGTATGTCATAAAATTTTGTATCAGAATCAGTTATCAGATCTATTAGTCAATAGAAAAAATCTCAGATGGTGTGGGTAATTTGATGATTAAAAGGTAATTATATCTTTAAAATCCTAAGATTTCAAGTTTGTGGCGATAATCATTTTTAAGAAAATATGAATTTTGTGAAAATATACTATGCTTGCTGCTGAAGTTAAGTTAGGTAGCAAGCCAGGCATAGACTGTACTCTTAACAAGTTTACAGCAGTAGAGAAGATGGAATTCAAGTGCTCACACATTTTTTTAAAAAGAGAAGTAGGGAGCTAGAGAGATAGTCCAGCAATTAAGAGCACTTATTGCTCTTGCAAAGGACCCTAGTTTGGTTCTGAGCAGCTATATGGTAGCTCACAAACATTTCTAACTCCAGTTCCAGGGGACCTGATATCTTTTTCTGGCCTCTGAGTGTATACCACATGCACACGGTGAGCGTACTTATATGCAGACAAAACACGCATGCACTTAAAAAAAAACTCTCCAAAAAAAGGATGATAAGGGTCAGCTTTGAGTATTAATGGTGTTAGCTAGGTAGCAAGTAAGATCAGGTAGCGTCCCAGGTATGTGGTGGCTCCAGAGAGCATTTCATTTGAGGAATTAAGCAACTATTAAAGCATAAACATTTCATTTTGTAAATGAGAAACTGAGGCAAAGGTAAGTTGAGTAACTTTATTCTGGTGTATTCTGTGCTGATGATTGCTTTGTTAATCCATTCTTTGTCCACTAAGCAGCCTCCAATTGCCACATTTTTGTCTTTCTTAGCAGTATCCATTTCTTAGCAGTATCCATGAAGAATTGACCATATTCCAAAAGAATACTTCTGCCTCTGTTTTATCAGTTGTTTAGGCAAAATCTAGGGTGTTCGTGTTAATATAGAATGTTTAAATTGTTTGAATTTTGTAACACAATAAAAGAAGATCCAGAGACTGATATTGAGGTTTAGGCTTCAAGTTGAAGATCAGAAAAGCAAAGCAGCCAGCCACTAGCTCTTACCTCTACCTCAACTCAGACATAATATGTCATGACGAATTTCCTTTGCTGTAACAGCCTATTTCATGTGATCATTGGTAATTTGCTGATACTTAAAGGCCTACAAGTGTCATTGGTGTACACATTCAAGTTTTTGCTTTCCTTTTGAGACAGTCTGTTGCCCTAAACTCCTGAACTTTCTGTGTTGTGAGTCATCATACCTAGATTTTTATATAATTCTTTTCACTTAATGCTAACACAATTCATTTTTTCTTTCAGTTAAAACCTATAGAGTACCTACATCATGTCAAATACTATGTAAGACACTGAGCATACACAATAAACAAAACAGCACCTGCTTATTTGCAGAGGTAACAGTCCAGTGTGAGGAGCACTTTGTTACTTCAGTGTGTTATCTATTGGCTAACATGTTTCCTGTGCAGGGAATGTCCAAGGGTCTCTGAATGAGAAAGACCTCTTTCTAAAATCTGATTTCTTTGTCTAGAAGATTAGAGTTCAATGGTGAAAAATGTGATTAGGGCAAGTTGAGTAGCATAATTATGAGAGGTTTGTCAACAATGCTGAGGAATTTGCAATTTATCCTAAAGGCAATGGAAAGCTGTTGAATATTCTCAAGAATAGAATGACATGCTGGATTTGTGCTCTGGAAATACCATCTGGTCTTCAATTCTTAACTCTAAAAGTGGTTTATTGTTGCCTACTTTTTAAAAAGATAATGTTATAATACATGCCTTCCTTTTTTTGTTTTGTTTGTTGATCACATTCATATGCATTCTTGTGTGGTAGAGTACTTGATCCAGGATATTTTCAGGAAAGGCCCATGTTGATAACTTGCCAAAGACCCAAATTACCTCTACTGTACAACCAGAATCTAGAACCATTGCTCTTGAATGAAATACTACTTAGGTCTTTCTTTTTTTTCTTTGTTTCTTCCTTCCTTCCTTTCTTCTGTCCTTCCTTCTTTCCTTCCTTTCTTTTTTTGTGTAGCCCTGCTATTCTGTAGCCTTAAGTCATTAAGAAAAAGATAGGTAGGGAGGTGGTGATGTCACATCTTTAAACCCAGCATTTAGGAGGCAAAGACAGGCAGATCTCTGAGTTTGAGGCTAGCCTGGTCTGTATCTTTTTCTTAATGATTTAATTTCACTGGATCAGTTGACAGCATTTGATGCAGGGCTACTTCCTAAATAATGGTCCCCTGAGTTTACTCTTGAGGTTAGTGTGTATTAAGTTGAAATCTTTTAAGAATTAACGGAACAACATTGACTGTTCAATGAAAAAGATTTGCTGTCAGTAAAGTTTTAGGAAATGAAGAAAATTTAATGTTGAGGTAGTTCCAAGTCATGGGAGAGGTTTTGTATCTATAATATTATGATCACATTAGTCAAGGTTATGGAAGTTTGTAAGAAGATCTAAAACAACACTGTAGTAATCACAGAGTAACAGAGGTGAGAGAGATTTGAGGACAGGAAAACACCAAGAAGTGACTAATTCACTAGAGAAAGAATATAAGTTGTTTTCCCAGATGTAACTTAGCAGCAAAGATTGTGAGGAGGGCCCACGAGACAGTTAAAACATAGTGGATTTACTGACATAGGAAATTATACACATAATAAAGCATAGAAGGTTGAGGGGATGCTATTAGCATATTTGGAATTTATAAACAGTGACTTAGTGTAACATACAATAGATTTATAAGACATAAATGTCATTGCTTATGTCTGTTTTTGTATATAATTTCGATCATTGTTTTGATCATTACTACCTTATAAAAATCACGCCTTTAATCCCAGTACTCTGGAGGCAGAGACAGGCAGCTCTCTGTGAGTCGGAGACCAGCTTGGTCTACAAGAGCTAGTTCCCGGACAGCTTCCAAAGTCACAGAGAAACCCTGTTTCTAAAAACCAAAAAAAGAAAAAAATTCATTTATTAGTGACAATATGACAATACAGTTGAATTCTGTGAAGGTAAGATTCCATAGAATATTGATGCAACTATTAAAACATAATAATGTTAAACTTCTAAAGGCTTGGTTCCTATTTAGTGTTTCACAAAAAAAGAGGAGAAGAATAGCTCTTAGATTCTCCAAATATCCTGTGAGTTAGCTACATAAATGTACTAGAGGGTAGTTTTTAGAAACTTAAACAATTACCAGTGTGCTTTCAATTACAAGGGATGGTGAATGTCCTCACTATAAGGATAAAGATGATTAAATTGGGATAGTTTATGCCTTATTTCTTCTTCTTTTATAGGTTTTAAAACGACCAGAGTATTTTGGGAAGTATGGTAAAATACATAAAGTTGTCATCAATAACAGCACATCATGTGCAGGCTCACAGGTAACTAACTCATCATAAGGATTTTTGCCTTTCCTCCCTGTGGTCTGGGCTTGACTGGGCTGTCAGAAGGAAAATTATCTTCCTGCAATCAGAAAGCTTGAGGGAGCTGGGCAGTGGTGGCACACGCCTTTAATCCCAGCACTCGGGAGGCAGAGGCAGGCGGATCTCTGTGAGTTCGAGGCCAGGCTGGACCGACAGCCTCTAAAACAATACAGAGAAACGCTGTCTCATAAAACCAAAAAAAAAAAAAAAAAAAAAAGCTTGAGGGTCAAAGGAGTTATACAGTGTAGTGACCTCTGTTGGTGGGATAGGGGAGTTTTTATGTTCATTTGATCCCTTAGGTCTCAGAGTGAATGACTTGATGGAATAAGAGGGAACTAGAAAACAAAGTTTATTGAAGGGGTTAAAGGGTGGTGGTGGTTACTAGGTAACCTGATAACTAGGTAGTGACTTATAATCAGTATTAATTTTAGATATTGAAAAAAATAGAACAGCTGTGTCAAACTGACATTACTTAACAACTTGCATTTATTTTTGAGAGTATGTGTTTTGATACCATGTTTTTAAATCTGATCTTTTAAAAATTTCACTTTTAAACTATTTTTGTAACTTTTATGAGCCTGTCAAGTTACTTTTGAAACACAAGGGAAGTGGGGGGGATACTATTTAATTATTTGTCTTATAATCCACTTACAGCTAGATAAAGTTCAAGTATGATTGCTTTTAAATTAGCTAAATGTTTAAAAGAACATTATATCAAAAACTACTACTTCTAATTATTACTATTATTATTAAAAATGTCAGTAGTGAAATAAACACCTTTAGAATTCTTGGGTTGCAAAAGAATTTTATTTTCAGTACTAATTTGAAACTAATAACAATGGGATGGAATGTGCTTCGCTTTAGGGTCCAAGAGCCAGTGCTTATGTAACCTACATCCGGTCAGAAGATGCTCTCAGAGCAATGCAGTATGTTAACAATGTGGTGGTAGATGGCAAAACACTTAAGGTAATATGTTTCTCTTGATTATCTTCTGCCTTTTAAGAGGAAGGGGTAAGATTAAAACATAGAGGAGTACCTGGCATTTAAATGGTACCTTTGAAGGCATTTAATTTAAAGGCTGTCCTTTTGGTTTCCATACCAACCTGTTAGGTACAAATTATTTAGTACTAATTAGGACTCTATTTTATTTACTGGGTAGAAATACACATTATTTAGGGAGCAATACTTTAAAATTTTAGTTTATGTTTTTCTTATTTTATGAAAATAGAACTGTTCTCATCACAAACAGGTAATAACTGTGGTTTGTTGTTATTAAATACCCGATATTTGGCTTATGTTTGGCCAAATAGTCCCAACCAGTGAAAATGGAGAAAGCATGGCATAATTTAAATAGGAATTTCCTTTCTTCTGTATTGAACTACTTATAAACATGGATCAGTCTTTTCTGTGCCCCTGGTGCCTAAAGAAGATCTGAATTTTCAAATTTTGGAAACCATTCACTTCGATGTTTTCTGTAGATCTCCTAAGTAAATGTCTGCAGTAAGTCCACAATAATAGTTCAGCTCCCTAATGTTCTCAGTCATGCTTTGTTCTGTCTGTGTCTCCTTTTAGGTGAAGTAGCAACAATAATCATGGAAATTGACATCATGTTATCAATTCATACTTTGAGTATTCTTTCCGCTCTTCCCCTTTTCCTCCTCCAGGCGTCTTTAGGTACGACAAAATACTGCAGTTACTTCTTAAAGAATATGCAGTGCACAAAGCCTGACTGCATGTACCTGCATGGATTGGGAGATGAGGCAGCCAGCTTCACAAAAGAGGAAATACAGGTAGAAAACTCATGTGAATTACCAATTTAATACAAAAGGAATTACTTTTAAAGTTAAAATTGTAAAGGCAAGAACGAAGACTTGTTACTATTGCTTTTCTTTTTCTTTTAAACCGGTATTACTTTAATGTAGCATTTCTAAAGTATGTCTTAAAATGTTTCTTCTAAGGACATGGTTACAATAAAAATGAGTCTGTGGTCAGCTGAGTCAGAAAACTACATTAGTGAATCAGCTGATTGATGAAATGTTGCAGAGGCTTTAATATTCATATATTCAAAAGGGAACCTGGCTGACCACAAGAAACACTTTGGGGAGTCCACTTATAGGGAGTGTCAGTAGTAAGAAAGCCAAGGAGTTACAGAAATTGTTAGTTGGGGTTTTTTGGTGTTGCTTTTTCTCTGTTTTGTTTCAACATCTACTCTTTATAGAATGTTCTAGAAAATAATGTGACCCATGATGGTGATAATCATTTTTAAGCAGTGACACTACTTTGAAAGTGTCCTCAGAGTAGTCATTGTCCTGTAAAAGGTAACTTGAAGGTTTAAATCCTGTCTTCTTTTTTTACGTTTTATCTTCTCCTGTCTCCTTTCAATGTGTGGTATAAACATGCTTTTACAAGTAAAAAGGTTGACCATAAGGCATATTAAAATGAGGATTATACCAAAGCACAATGCTACAGTTCCCTTTTGTAGATGAGGACTTCCGATTGTTGCTGTGAACTTTTGCAGGAATACTTCTCATTAGAAGGTGGAGGACATTCGTTGCTACTTTCTATTCCAGGTCAAACTAGAAAATATATGAGCTTCTTTAAAGGCAGATTGTAAACAGCATGAAATTTTGTCACTTTTGACTTGGAGTTAATGCAGATTAAGTCCCATTATATTAAACATCTTGATAATTTTGACAATACTGTCTTTGAAATTAAGATATTTAAAATAATGATATTCAACAGGGCAGACAATACAATTTTTTCAGTTAGTACTTTGAAATTTTTGTCTTATTTGTTTATGAGTGATTTTTCTTTAAATAAAATTTTGTGTTTTGAGTGTGTGTGCATGTGTGTATGGCATATAAGGATTATGTGCAGGTGCCCTCAGCTGTCCATGCCCCTGCAGAAACTAGAAAGGCACATGGAATGCCTTTGTGGATGACTATCTACCTTAGTTTTTGAAACAGCGTCTATTTGGTTGATCTGAGATTGGCTGTATCCTAGTATCCTACTGTATTCTCCATACATATTTTATTTTGTTACACACACACACACACACACACACACACACACACACACACACACACACACACCAAACTCAGGTCCTGGTGTTTGTTCAGCAGCACCTTGCCCACTGAGTCATCTCCCTAGCCCCTGGATTATCCTTCTTAGATGAAATCTAGATAGATAACATTTCAAGCTGCATTTTAAGTAGTGCCCATACATTGGAAATGTGCCTAAGGATTTCAAAGATCAAGTTGATCTCATGCAAGTCTGTTGTTCAACAATAGGAGAAGAAAAATGCATGTGGTGAGATTTTAACTGCTTGAATGAACTGCTCCATAATCACTTATAATAGCTCCAAAAGTATTGCTTACAGAAGTAATTTTTTAGGTGGTTCATGTTTTAAAGATGTAAAATTCACATCTAAATATATTTTTCTTAGCTTAAAACTCATTCGTAGTATGTTCTTTTTACAGGCGTTTAAAATTAGTTCTTTGCTAAAATGTTTCTCAGTTTGGAAAGAAAATTTGGTTAAGTTGTATCATGGCAAAACCCAAAAACCATGTTACTGTGTAACTCAGAATTGAGTAACCAGCTTGTGTGTCAGTAGGGAGCAGTGCCATGTCTGCTGGACATGATGCAGTTTTTGTGCTGTTAGATGATACCACCTTTGCTTCATATTCACTTCATTTTTTTCTGTTGTATTTTCATTTTGCCACAACATGTACTTACATCACAGCTTTAAAATAGTTGATATTCCCATGAGTAAGTGAAATGTCTTCTTAGTCAAGACACACATACAGGTGGTAAGAAGCTGCTCAGAAGGTTTTTCATTGTTTACAGTTTGCTTCTGCAGTGATCCTTGCCTGATTTCTCCCATACCTTTTTGTGACATTGCCTTGTGATATAAAGCTACACCAACTGCAATAAAGCAGTGTTTTCTGGTATATACAGTGGATGCCAGCAAGGTTTTCTGTAAAGGCCAGCCTAGTAAAGTATTTTAGGATTTCTAGACTATGGGGCACCTGTCACCATGCTGCACCATCCCAGTTGTAACACTTCACTCTGACTCTGAAGCAAGAAAGCACATACAAAGTGTATAAATGAGTAGCCAGACTATGTCCCAGCGAAGCACTGGGGCAGCAGGAGAGACTGTCTGTAAACTGCTTATTCCTGGTTTAGAGTTTCAGACATCAATTTTTACTTTGTTATCGGTAGGGAGAAAACAGAGAATAAAAACAAATTAATGGCACTTTTACCTGGTGTCAAGAAAAAGAAAAATGTAAGAAAACTGGATTCATTGTGCCGTTGATCTCTAAAAAAAAGCAGAAATTGTTTAATCATCAGATGTTCTGGTTTCCTTCCATTTGCTGTAACAAATAGCTTGACCTAAAGCAGTTTATGGGAAGAAAGGGTTGTAGTTCATCTTTGAGGGAAGTCTGGGCAAGAACTCATGGAAGAATGCTGCTTGCTTTCTTGCTGATCTGCTCGTACAAAGCTAGTTTTCTTTTGTTATCCAGGAATCATGGCCTGGGCCAGACTCCTCTACATCAATTAACCCTCAAGATAATCCCCCACAGACATGCCCACAGGTAACTGATTGGGCAATCTTTCAATTGGCAGTCTCTTAGGTAATTCTAATTGTGTCAAATTGAGAATTAAAGCTAACTGAGGCATAGAAAACTCAGTAGTGACCTGTTAGAGTTCTCGGTTGTATGAAAGAAACCGCAAGTAGTTGAAATTTTTATTATATTTATTCATTTATATATGTGTGTGTGAGTCTGTGTGCGCATGCCACAGCACATATATAGGGGTCAAAGGACAGCTTATGGGGTTGGTTCTCTCCTACCATATATGCTTCCCAGGGATCAAGCTTGGGTTGTGAGGCTTCTCAACAAGTGCCTTTACCCACTGAGCTATCTTCTGGTGCATTGGTTCTGGTGGAATGCTTTGGTCTGTGGAGTATCTATAGTGTAGCTTAGCTGGAATAACTTGTTAGTCTAACAGTTTGATAGCATCATCCTCAGGTTTCTTTGACTCTGTGAGAAAACTCCAATGTTCTTTTTATGGTACCTTTAATAATTACAAAGTAAAAGCATTTCATACAAGACTATGGTTTTTGAATCCCATTGCAGTTTTAATTTCTTCTTTCATTAGGCGGGTAAACACCAAGAGTATGAATGGAAGCTACTCCAAGAATTATATAAATTAAATCCCAATTTTCTTCAGCTACCTACGGGTTCAGTTGATAAGAATAAGAACAAAGTGACACCATGGCAGAGGTGTGATACGTAAGTACTGACTAAACACTGATACCATTGCCTCCTGTTTGTCATTCTTTTCATTGTGTATGTTTTTTAGACAAAATTCATATTAAGATCTATCATTTATGCATCATCTTCAGCTATGTAGATAGGTTAGGTCATAGTTTCTGAGTATGATTTTTATTTTATTTTGAAACAGGGTTTTACAAAGTAGCCTTCACTGGCTTGGAACTTTCTCTGTAGACCAGGCTATCATTGAACTTACAGAGATCTTCCTGCCTCTGCCTGTGTCTTGGGATTAAAGGTGTGTGCCACAAGGCATGACTAAATTTGAATTTCTGTTGCTCCCTGCTACCTGATAACACTTAGCTTCTTGATGCCATCACTCTAGGCTGTTATTTACAGATGGGGACAAGCTTTCATCTTGAAAGGAAATCACAGAGCTGGGTACAGAGCTCTCATCTCTAATTCTAGCACTTAAGAGGCTGACGCAAGAGGGTCACAAGTTTGAGGTCACATTGTGAGCTAAAGGGCAAGTTCTTGACATTCTCAGGCTTTTGCAAAATAAGAGCCCTGTGTTGGATAGGGAAAATGGAAACCCAGGAGTATTAGATATTGAAAAGCTCTTGCCACCCAAATTTATGGTTTCTCCCTAATATAAAGGAGAAAACATAAAAGGGAAGAAGGTAGTCATCTGAAATGTGTGTTTGGGTTATAATAGTACACAGCTGTTTAGTCTAGTGATCACTGATATTACATTCTGTAAGGAGAGAGTGTCTTACCTTTGGGTACAAGCAGTCTTCCTGTCTTCAACCTCTTACATGATTTGAGTGGTAGATATTAACTGAGTGTTTAATCAGATTTATAATTTTTAGTACAAAGTCTCACGATGATTTGGTGATCTTTATGACTTAAATTGTACTTTACTGTAAGTAGTCAGATATTGTACAGTTAAGTAATAACTTTGGGGGTTTTACTGTATCCTGTTTAAATGTTCTTTAAGTGAAAGTGATGTTTAATGTCCAGCTTTAAATAGCAGAGTTCCATGTCTAGTAAAATAACTAGCTTTCAAATGTATCAGTAAAAATTACACAAATTATTGTCAGTCTTTCTTCAAACATTCTTTAAATATTAAAGCAACTGTCTATTCCCCTTGCTGAAGATTATTTAAAAAGTAAAGACATTTTAAAAATGAGTATTTTTATACACTTACTCATGATGGTTATGTATATAGATATGTAAGTAGACATCAGCATAAAACATAAAATCACTGTATATTAAATAATGTGAGGTTTCTTTATGTCAAAGGTAGGATAAAAGCTAAATCCAGCCATATCTTTTGAATAGTACCTGGTTGGGCTTACTGTGCTGTGGATACTGAGTCGACCTAGTGGTAAGAATCACAGAGTATACACTGTGCAGTGTAAGTAGTCATGGCTTGATGTAGTCCATATGGAAAATGTTGAGTTCAGACTGAAGTGAAGATGTGCTTATTTAATTTTAATAGTCCTGTGTGGCAGATGTTGTCATTACTTCAGATAAGAAAAGGAGCTAAGTGTTAATAAGTATTCCACACAAATCGGTTAGAGAGACCAGATTCTGACCAAAATCCCTGTCAGTTTAAAGACTAGACGCATCTCACTTTGCCATCATTTAAAAGGTTAATCTATGCCACAATTTTAAAGGAGAAATTGATAGAAAAGAATTTAATGTGTTACATTAGTTTTATTAAGTGAAAGCATTTTGACTGAAAATAATCTGGTACTTCAGATTTGTAACTTTCAGAGAATTGATAGTGTTTTTAAGCTTCCTTCAACCACAGATAGAGGGCACTATTATACTGTCTAGTAAAGCTATTCAAAGAAAAACTTCTATAGCAATTTATCAATTTTTATTCCATGTAGAGGAAGTGTATATTGTTGTCCATTGTTGTTATTGTCATGTTTTTGTGGTATTTTGGATCAAATTCAGGACCTTGTGCGTGCAAGGCAAACAGTTCACCACTGATCATCTCTACCTCCCTTTTGAAAGATCATGGCTGTATTCTTACTGAAAATTAAGTGTGCTCTGATAGACAGGTGCTGCCTGAATGCCAGGCCTTACTAATTGAGTATTTTTGGAGGAATCAGTGCATTAATCCTCTTCAGGATTCCTTGGCATTACTTGATACCTCCAAGAATCAAAAAAGGTACTAGGTACTCAGGTCTTTAATCCCAGCACTCAGGAGGCAGAGACAGGCAGATCTCTACGAGTTTGAGGGCAACCTGGTCCACAGAGAGATTTCCAGGAGAGCCAGGGCTACGCAGAGAAACCTGTCTCAAAAAAAGTGTAGTGTAGTTTGTCAAAAATGTACAAGATTCTCTCAAGCAGAATTTGTTAAATCATTAACAGGTATTAAGATATCTATGACCTCTGAAATTTCATGCAAAATTTTGCACATCAGTTGGTTTTATATGGAGGCTGCTATGCTGCTAGCTAGAGGGCTAGAGGTAAATCTATGAGTAGTGGAAAACAGTGATTCTCAATATGGATAGGAACCACTAAAGTGGTTTGAATTTTATGAATCTCCAGAAAAACTTTATTTTATTGTAGAAAATTATTTACAATTTCCCATTTTCATTTTTGCATAAATTGCAGAACTTTTTATTAGTACTTAACTGGGTAAAAGTCTACTAAACTGGGATACTTACGTTAAAATTGGTTAATTGCTAGGGATTTGTTTTTTTGTTTTGAATTCTGTCCTTCTTTCCAGTCTCTGTCCAGTTCTCATTTATATGTAGCTACTACACATGTGCCTACATAGTGGGACTCTATTAAGTCATCTAGGGGACTCTTACCCCACTTGAGTTGACTACAGTTAAAAACAATTATTAGAGCCACTGTTGTAACAGGAATTGTTTAGAAAGTTAGATGGGGATAATGATCCCCTATCCCCACTCCATAGTGACTCAGTGACAAAAGTGAGGCAGTTTATGACCTTGCCTGGTAGGATACCAACTCAGACAGAGTGGCAGGCAAACTGATTAAGTACTCCCAATAGGTGCAAAACAGTCATTCTTATATTCCTAGTCAGTGTCCTTTCCCTCTTTTCACCATTTGCTAAGTACTCTGAGGTACAATCTTCATGTTGCCTAATATTTATTACCCACTACCTTCAATACACATATTTGGTCATGTAACAAACCATGACCTATATTTTTTTCATCCTGATATTAAATTTTATTGTGGTCTTTAAGCAGTTAACACAAACAGATCTCCTTCAGCAAAACTTTAGGTTTGAATGAAAGGTAACTAAAATGCGATATCTGTTTGGACAGGGGAGCCAGTGCCCTCTGCTTACCTAAACTGTAAGCTCACTTGTGGCACCTTTTTTTTTTTTAATTAAAAATTGAGCATTGTATTTTGTTTCTCACTGAATGAGTCAGGAGAGGGATGGCTGAAGATAGGATGTGTAGGTCTGGAAAAATGGCTGAGCAATTAAGAATACTTGCTACAAAAGCATGAGAACCAGAGTTGAATCTCAAGCACACCTGTAACCTTAGTGCTGTGAGTTGGGAAGGAGACACTTTATGCAAAAATTAAAAAATGGAGACTGTAAGTCATTTGTCCAAAATAGAAGGGGAATGTCTTTTTGGGGACCTATAACGTGATTTCTCAACACCAGCCTAGGTTCAGATTCATTTAAGGAAGCTCTGTCTTGACGGGCAGTGGTGGCACAGGCCTGTAATCCCAGCACTAGGGAGGCAGAGGCAGGCAGATCTCTGTGAGTTTGAAGCCAGCCTGTTCTACAAATTGAGTTCCAGGACAGCCAGAGCTGTTATACAAAGAGCTGTCTCAAAGTGTGTGTGTGTGTGTGTGTGTGTGTGTGTGTGTGTGTGTGTGTGTGTGTGTGTGTGTGTAGGTGGGGGGGCTCTGTCTCAAGGGAATATGGTGGAGTGTGATAAAGCAAGCCATTCAGATTCCTCCTCTGGCCTCCGTGTGTGCACATGGCACACAAAGAGGGACATACACCACACACAGGTAAGTACATAAATAACATGTTTTTAAAAGAGAGTTCTTTGGGTCCTTATTTCCTAAAAGAGAAGTAAAACAAAAAAGCAATTGTGTGTTTAAGTCACCTTAAATATATAATATCTTTTTGAAAGCTGAACTTCATTACACAGATAGTATAAAGAAATAGAAGCTTTACCTACTATGTAGGAAAGCTTACCACATCTTCAAATGTCTTTCAACTTCATTATTAAGAATAATTCTTATCTAGCTGTGGTGATACATGCCTTTAATCCCAGCATTCGGAAGGGAGAGACAGATGGGTTCTTGTGAATTCAAGACCACCTTGGTCTACATAGTGAGTTATGGGACGCCAAGACTTTGGTGAGAAACATTGTCTCTAAGGAAAAAAAATCTTTGCACAAACCTGTGGAAATCAAGGCATTTATTTTCGTTTTCTGATAAGTGGTTCCAGAGTTTATGAGAAAACCAATTAAAGCATTTACCCAGCTACAAATACTTCAGGTTGGCTGAGGCATTTGTTTCTTGTCTATAAAGAGCTAATTGTGTCGCTTAAAAGTTGGCTGTATTTTAATGGTATAGTAGTAGTTTAAATGTTGATGTGTATTTGAAACCTATACAAAGTAAAATGCATTCTGTGAAGACAAGTTTTGTATGTCAGTAATATAAATATATAGTTTGTGCCATCAAACATTTAGGTATCTCCCAAGATTTTTCAGACTTTGGTAAACAAGAAAAATTAAAGTGAATTCATTTTAATAAACTTATCTAAATATAAGGAAATATATTCATTTGGAAGTAGAGTGTATATGCATTTGTGTATACAGCAATATGCCATTAAAATTTGAAACTGTCAATTATATTGGCATCTTTCTTTATATAAATTTACCTTATATTTAAAATGTAACTAAAATATGCTGTGTTTTGAATGTAATAAACAAAGAACTAGACTCTCAACTTTTTTCTATCCCATTTTCAGTCCCCCTCAAATGAATTTTTCTTTGATCCTTCTATTGTATA